CGCGGCTGTGTTTTGAGGTCCCTTTGGGGAGGGTTCCGGGAACCAATCCCACCCCCTGGAAGGAGCGCCCCAAATCCAGCCTGGGAGCTCCAGGGAGCAAGCTCCCAGCGCGGAGCTGCCTGAGCAATGCTCCCTGCGCTGTAGTTCTCCCTCGAGAGGAACCGCTGCAGCAAACCAGCCGCCAGGTTTCCCGGTAATTAAAACAATTTATTTCCTGCGTCCCTCGGGGAGGCGGCGGGGGGCGGGAGCAGCGGAAGCTCCCGGCTGCTGCCAGACGCCCTCGGGAGCGCCGCGGCCGGGGAAGGCGTTGCGGGGGAGATTTTCCAGCAGGAGAAGAGAGGCTGGGGCAGGGACGCCAAAGCTGTCCCGGGATATAGCGCGTAGTTTTGCATCCACCCCCCGCACACAAGGGCGCGCACGTACAAATAGCAACTTCCCAACCGGGGGGACCCTTCCCACTGGCCATGGAGACCTCTGGGGAACCGCGCGCAGCGAGCAGCCAGCGCCTTCCCTGCCGACTTCGCCTTGATGCTGTTGGTGTTTAAATAATGACTGGTCCGATGTGACCGATTTCCTCGGGTAACCCGATGCTGCTTCTTTCCAGCACACGCCGAATCATCTGGACATCCCCGCTGCAAGCTTCCCGCTTCCCAGAGGCTGCTGCAACTGAGGATCCAGGCGGACGGCGGACGGCCACCAGCCCCCCCATCATGAACACCGTCGTCTTTAACAAACTCAGCAGCCAAGTGCTTTTTGAGGAAAACGCCAAAGAAAGGGAAAGTCACAGCCGGCCTTACGTGGGGGTCATCGACAGCCCACACCACCCCGAAGTGCACCTTCCCGACAGCCCGTCCATTAAAGACAACCTCAGTCTTCGGAACAGACGGACAGGGTATGGGCCTCATTCTGATGGCAGTCATTTGTGTTGCTCTTGCAGCGCTGCCTAACAACAGAGCCTAGAGAAGCGAGCGGTGTGTGTGTTGAATCTAGTGGTGTCAAAGGATTGTTTGACTGGTTATTGTAAATATTTTTTTAAGCCTTTGTATTGAGACTCCAATTCCACAGCTATGGCTGGGGGAAATGGCAGTCATTTGTGTTGCTCTTGCAGCGCTGCCTAACAACAGAGCCTAGAGAAGCGAGCGGTGTGTGTGTTGAATCTAGTGGTGTCAAAGGATTGTTTGACTGGTTATTGTAAATATTTTTTTAAGCCTTTGTATTGAGACTCCAATTCCACAGCTATGGCTAGTGGAAATTCCTGTGATAGATAATGCAGTGTCTAGCCTATTTTATTGGACTGTGTGAAAGAGAGTACTTCTGTTTTAGATTACTTGTCTCCCACTTTTAAAAATACAAATACAAAACCACACAGGGGCACATCAGTCTTTATCCTGTTTTCTTGAAAATAGTAACTGTGCAATAACATATTTGCACAAAGGAAAACCGCTCTATAAACGATCCTTTCTCATGGCGTGATGTTAAATCCGCCAGATAGACCCGCTGCAAAAGACAAACTCTAGGAAGTGGCATTTTAAGATTTTTTTTAAGCAAATAGAGCCTTACGAAAGTAAAACAATGTCAAACAAACAGCTACAAATTTGTTTTTGTTTTAAGTTTGGCTGAGTTAAAGAAAGTGTACTTTTTTACAATGCTTGCAAGAGGATTTAAAAAATGATTACTCTTTTATTAAAGCCCGTCAAAGACCTGGAATATTGGAGTTATGCTAAAAATCCACCTGGTGATATACATTAGAAGTTTATTGCTTGTTCTAGAACAGGTGGAAGGGGTGTGGTGTAGTAGCGGAGGAGGAAAAGTAATGTTTTGTTAGCTCAAAAGTCTAATCAAATATAATTTTTCGTGTCAATGCGATTAATCTTTGGTTAAATATATAAATTAAGGATTAAGGCATTAAAACCGACAAAGAAAATGAAAAAAAATGCCGAAGAGTTATTTTTATAGCTGAATTTCCACCTTAAAAATTGCATCAGCTCATACTTCTATAGGCATTGCTGGTTGGCAGAGATTATGTTTCATCAAAATGTTTCACCAGCCGATTCAGACATAGATTTTAAATAAAGTATTTTAAAAGACCGGGAAACAAGCGAGAGAATCCGGAAAATTTAGCAGGTAGCTGGCGAGGTCCGACAGCGACACCTGCCGATACACCCTGGAACCAAATTCACCTTTTTTCCTATTCACTGCAGCAGGCGTTTCATAGAGAACATATCCTTGACTATTTTTAATCTGATTGTTCTTCTGAACTTGATTTATTGTTTCCTATAATTTATTGTATTTCTTTAAACATTTTGAATCTTTTAAACTACAGTTTCACTTTTCCTATTTTAGTTGTTTTCAAATCCGAGTTGTTGATTTTCCCCCTGCTACTTTGGGAAATGACACGTATGTTTCAAGAGGATGATTATCTGACCTTTTGATTTAACGAAGGTTTATGCACCAGTGAACCAGGACCGGCTTAACATCTTAAAATTGTATCCGGAACGGATTGTTTGTTTCTGGCAAATTAACTCATTGAGATTGGCCAGATTGCTAAATGTACATTCCTCAACGTGTTGTACAAGAGAACAAATTTCTTGTGGCTAACAGATATAAGCTAGGCTGGGAATAGGGTGCTGCAATATTTTCAAAAGCTAAATGTACCCAAGACAAAAAGGCTTCCTGAGATCTTGCAAACGTATCAAAATATGATATGCAGACATCGAATAGCTTACACCACCTAATAAAGGGCGCTAATTCTCTACCTGACACTTTTTTGAGATTCACTTTACTCAGCGCGAGTGTATGGAGCCATCTACCACCTCCTTTCTTTGGTGTTCTAAGAGGGCATTAGGACTGGCACTAAATATTTGTCTATTGCAATCTCTGTTTTGTCTGTTTCACATCCCTCCCTCTTCTCTTCGCTGTCCCAAGGTTAGCCTTCTGCTAGGGTGTCTTACTGACACGATTCAACGGGGGTTTTATTTTTGGTTCCCCGCACACACACACACTTTATCGTGGAGTTTGTTTCTTCGGCCAAAGTCAAGCTGCCATATGCAGAGCACAGCAGACGATGTAGTAGAATGAAATTTGTATTTTCTTGTAGGCAACTGGACTCGCATGTCTTAATGCAGAAGAGGTTGCTGAATATATTACTTTTTAGGTGACAGTATGAGTCGTGGTACTTTTGTCATCATTCTTTGGGATTAATTGAACACAGGCTAGAAAACCACGTCGAAGTGAGAGAGTTTTGTTTGTTTGTTTGTTTGTTTGTTTTTGCCCGTAGGACCTTTGCTGTAACTATATGGCTTGCACGTGCAGTGGCGGGCTGGTGTATGGGCCTGTGCGTTACCCGCACCACACCCACAGCCTTGTGCAGCACAGCACGTTAATGGTCGCACACAAATCAGGCGTCGCGTGGGTGAGTTTGTAGCTGTTCTAGCTGCAGCACCCACCCGTGTCGCGGGGTGCGCGGCTCCTCAGAGCGCGCGGGAGGTGTGACGCACGCGGGCTGTCCCCACCGTGTGCCCCGCAGCCTGCCAGGTAGACTCCCTGCGGACGCGGGGGGAGGGGAAGGGAAGAGGGCTGGAAAAGGGCTCCCCGCGAGCTACTAACGGGCCGGGCCGCTCTCTCCCGTGCAGGGCCCGGCAGAGCGGCGGCAAGGTGCGGCACAAGCGGCAGGCGCTGCAGGACATGGCCCGGCCGCTCAAGCAGTGGCTGTACAAGCACCGCGACAACCCGTACCCCACCAAGACCGAGAAGATCCTGCTGGCGCTCGGCTCCCAGATGACTCTGGTGCAGGTAACTCCGCGCGAGCTGCCGACAAAGAGGCCCGGCCCCACCCCCGGCTCCGCACAGCCCCCTCGTGTGCCCCGTGCAAGCGAGGCGGCCCCCCCACCCACACCCACTGTGCAAGCCCCGCGCTCTGGCGCGTGCGAGGCTGGCATGGGTCTTCTGTGGAGGCGCTAAGGGATGAGCTGAGAGACCCGGCTGAAACGTGGGCGCCCGGGCGGGGTCCAGCTGCCCCGTCTCCCCTCCCGTGGCCTTGCCTGAGCGGGGCGCTCTAGACAAGCGCTCAGACCGCCTTGGTACCTAGACTCCCCTCAGCACGGAGCGTCTCTCGCTATCCCTGGGCAATAGCCAATAAGCAACTCCCTCCACACTACCGAGGTACCTGTAGCCCCAGCGCGCGGCCCAATGACTGAGCCAGATGTCCTGTGCAAAGCCCTCGGCTCAGCCCGGGCGCACCTTGAACCTCTCGCTGAGGGCAGGAGAGGTCTGAGGAGCCTAGGACTTACTGAACTCATAAGCAAGCCCTTAGCGCTGCCGCTGGGTCTCCTCCTCACGTTTTCCCTTCTGCCGGTAGAACAAGCCGCAAGAGATTTCCGTCCTTGTGAGGAGAAAGGGGAATATTTTTATTCATCCCGTTCACAAAAGCAGTTTTGCTTAGTTTTTAAAAATCAACTTTAGGCAGCGGGTAAGCAGGGTAAGCAAGGGATATTTTATCACAAAAAGCAAATGTTTCAGTAAGTGATTAATAGCTGTGCATTTCCTATTTGAAAATGGGATAGACTGGAAAGAGCTAGCCAGTGCTAACTACAGAGATCACGTCAATACATATTAGTCTCATATACACGGAGGGCATCTGGATTATATACACATTATCTTAATAAGATCTAGCTAAATATGGGAGGGGAGCCTATTTGGCTTTATGGGCCTGGGCAAAACTGAAATTAGTGAAAGTTGTGTCAAGAGAAAGGCGTTTAGGGTTGACTGACAGGAGTTTCTTTCTTTCATCTGGCACCATCTGTTAGATGCTGGAATTACACGGTATCAGCTGTAGGGTCCTGCTTTTTCAGGCTCAGGCACAGACTTATACCCTCTCATTTTCTTGACTGCAGTGAAATTAGTCATTATGCTGCATAACAATAAACATGTGTGTATGCCTCTGCAAGGGCAGGGCCTTGGTACTGCATTGTGTGCATTAGGTGCCACTTAATAGATTACATTCCTGTAACAAAATATCAAATATTAGAAAAGAAGGAAGGAGATAGGAATCCAACATTAGTTTGCACGTTCCCTCAAATAAATAAGACTATACTATCAATGAGTACTTCAAAGAGAGTACCTCAGTGTGAATGCATGCATTAGTGAATGCAACATAGCTTTCACCAAAATAATATTAAACATCCTGGAAAATGCCATTTATAACTGGAAAATATTGTTAAAACAACTTATCAGTATCTGGCTTGTTGTGATAGATGCTGAACAAACATGGAGAGAGACATGGCCCTTGTTCCACAGAATTTATATTCTAAGCAGAATAAAAGAATAATATAGATCTAAATTAACCACTGGCCATTGACTTTATAAGAATTGCAGTGGGGTTGAATTTGGCCTTGGCATTCTATGTGAAATATCACATTTTAAAGAACCATGCAACCCAACTATTATCTTAATTTACAGAAGAATGGGATAAAAAAGAAACCCCATCTGTTTTTCCCATAATTTACGTGAATGTTCTTTTAATCCAGAAACATCATAGCATCTGTATGAGGGATAAATATATGTATGGCATCCACCGTAATTCCTGCACCTGGAAGAATAAAATATCGGTATCCCATATATGCTTTTCAAATGCCAATAAAGAACAAGACAGTAATACAGATCAAAATAGTTGAACTCTGAGAATTAAACACACAGAACCAGGTTGTGATCTTAGAGATGCTGGTGTAAATCTGAAAAAAACTCCACTGAAATTAATGGTGTTACTTTGAATGGAGAGTGGCATAATAAAGAGCCAGTTCTGGGACATATATTTGCATCCTTTTGAAAAAAAAAATAATTTTCCAAGAACTGAGCATTCCAGATGTATCAAACAGGGTGTTGCATAAGTGCCCATCTAATCTAGTAATAACAAATACCAAGACATATAAAAGAACCATGAGCCATTATGTAATGTTTTCTCCTGACAGCATTCCTTCACATTTTCTAAACAGACTGACATTTCATCTTATCTGTTTTCCAGTTCATCAATTCAGTTTCTCAGTGCCTTACAGCCTCCTCTGTTATCATCTAAAATATGGACCTATGATAGTATTATTTTCTCACTAGTTCTTTCAAGCTTCTTGTCTTCTGAAGCTATTACGCCTTCAGTTTCATTGAGGCTTACATCACACCCTGCATTGACAATTCTATGGGAGGCCTAATGATACTTTGAAAATCATTGAGTTTCTATCAACAGTGTGTCCAGGGACTCATACAGTAGATTTTATTGGGTTTTATTGTTTTCCTGAATACAACTCTGCAGAGATTCCAAGAATGAAAAATAATTTCCATACACATAGGTGCATCTGCTTTGAAATTCAGGCCCCCTATGCTATGTTCTGGACTCCAGAATAGTTAAAAGTAGAATTGTGCTACCAATGCTTCCCTGCTGGCAACCTGTCCATTCCCACACATAATGTTTGCAAGCATGGAGAAGAAATGTGTAAGAATTTACTAGTAAACTTTCCAGGGATCAACCTTCATGTCTGCATATATTTCCTTCACAGCTGGCTGGCAGTTGATGCTGAATACAGTAGAGTGGCTGCCCCCAGGTCAAGAATTTGCACAAGGCTTCTGCCAGATCAGATGGAACAGAGGAGGGTTATTCTTAGGGTAGTATCTCTCTGACTGGATTTTGGGCCATTTTTGAGGGTCCTGCTATTTTCATTTCCCCACTGCCTCCTGGTTTTTTAAAACTAATTTCCATCATGTTAGTAATTCTTTGTCTCTTGGTGCTGTGAAACTAAAAGGAGGTTTGTTCTATTTTCTGGTCCCTAGAAACTTAGAAAATAAACACAGACTTTTATAGAGAATTGGGGTTTTGAAGGCATTAGGAAGCTTCTTTATTTCTAATCACTAATAACATAAGCACATGGGGCAAAATTCTGTGTAGATTTATGCTTATACAATCCCAATAAAGTGAATAGGATTTCAGTAGGAGTAAATTACTACAGCATTTGGCCTAGCAGTTCAAAACTCTGAAGGCAGAAGACTACTTCTAAAAGCTGTCTTCCATCTTAGCCCACAGATTAGACTCCAATTCAACAAATCCAGCAATTTGTTCTATTAATTTGCCATGAATATGTTATGTTTTCATTTGCACTATTACCACAACATTTGATTTATTTTATTTTAAATTTTGGTTTAAATATTTTTGTGAAATAAAAAAGAAAAATGACTGCATATACTTTCCAAAAGGAAATATGAATGGCTTTATTGTTTAATAAGAAGTTATTTGCCATAGTAAGATTAATATACTGGTCATATGCTGCTGCGGATTTAATAATATTACCATTTGCAAAAGAATATCAATGACATAATTTATTTTGGGTAAAGGGATCATTTGGCTATTATCCCTGTTTTAAGTCCTTGGCTCTTCTTGAGTAGAAAAGCATAATAAATTAGAATAATTTTTTCAGAGGTAAAGCCAAAGGGTCTGTATTTCTTAGGTGCCCACGTGAATACTTTTGGCCATTCTGGAGAATTTCTACAAAGCTGAGAACCATTTTTATGGTAATATCATATTGGTAATGTTTTTTCTTGCTCATAAATAAGGGTTTTGTTTAAATACTATTATGATGATGCTGATCTTTATGCATATATAGGGAGACAGTAGTAACACTTTTTATTGTGCATTTTTCCCAGGATACTTAGTCATTTGTTGAATTCAAATGCAAATGTCTTTTCACAGTGCCTTGTAAGCAAATTATTGTTTTTTGTGTTTTCTAAGATATTTCATGCACACACAGTAACATAAGTCAAAGCCATTTTAACAGCTGTTTAGGTATTGTCAGCTTAGGGTACTTTCTTTTATGATCAGTCCTAAATAATCGTGGTACTAATATGTGGAGATATATTAATAGATTATAAAGTCAGAAGGAATCACTGTGATTATCTGTCTTGACCTCCTGTGTAACACAGGCCACTGACTTGAGAGACTTGACATGCCACATTTGAAGGAACACATACGGATATACGATAAATTCCTGCCCCTCTTAAAGTTAATCACAAAACTCTCTTTGACTTTAACAGGATCAGGATTTCACTCACAGAATTTGGGAACTGTTAGGTGGATAAGCCTCATGCATCACCTTCATTCAGCATAAGTAAAACTTCTTGTTGTTCCAGTCAGAATTTCTGTGTAAAGTTATTGAAGGGGGAGTCAGTAGCTGGAGTGTATTTCTGAAACAGGGTCTGTGGTACTATATATTTGGGAAAAGACTCTTTTGTAAATGCTGAGTTAAGATTATTTCTTAATTGTTAAATATTTTCATCCTTATACCGGAAGGCGTAACATACACATATACTATTCACTCCTATTACTATGAAAAATATTGAGAGTTGACATGGAAAGAACATATCCATTGTGTTTGCTGTTAGGTTTTCATTAAACTGACAGTGTATCCATAAATCACATTAGTTAAATCTAATTGTTTTTATGCAAGAATCACACCATTTCTGTACATGGTTCCCTGATAGCACCATGATGATCTGTATAGGCCTAGCTTGACAACAGTGTTTCTCATGGGATGCTGAGAAAACTGTCCGTTTTCCTAGGCATTGCAGTAACCATTAAAATATTTAGTTGGACCCCAAATCAATCAGTCTCTATCATTGCATGTATGAATCTAGAATTATACTAAATCCTGTGGAAGTCAGGTGACCAGTGTTTCATCTGAGCAGTCTGGAATGAGTTTGTTAACTGCATTAGAAGATGGATAGATTCCAATTCATCCCTTCTGGTTTACTATAATGATTGCTGTGCCAATATGATGAATGTAAACAAGAAGCCTTGGAGCAGAACAAACATTACTTAATCTTCTTTGCCAGCTTCAGTTTTGGTCTCCTCACCCGTCACAGGAAACTCCAGGGTTTGTAAAGCAGTGAATATGGCATGAGAGCACTGATCCAGAGCTCACTCTGCTTGTTGTGGAGCTCTGTTTCATGTAAAATAGGGTTTAAGTATAATCAAAGTGACAGGCTTAACGAGTCTCTACTAAGTTCTAGATAGAAAGCTGGATCAAAATTTTACTTGTAATTAAGCAGGTAGTGTTTATTTTCTTCATAATCACCCTTAACTGGATTAGCGATCAAAAGTAATTAGCTAACTACTCATATGATATTTATATACTTTACCAAAATAGCTGGATTACAAAACTAGGGCCAAATCCATCTTTGAGATGCACACTGTGGCTTTCTGATAATAGAGTGCTATCTGGTATGTTGTCTGATCTGTTGATTAGTTATTGTCTAGGTTATTGATTTAACATCCCCAAATAACACTCTCAAATTTGGTAGGTTCTTGTCTCAAGGTCAGGCCCACTATTATCAGAATTGTTGGTTTGGAAGCCATGTGGGCCATGGTCGGAGGTAAAAGTAAACTGGTGCACCCAGTACGGCACTCTGGCAAGAAGCTGGTTGGCTAGGGCAGTGTTTCTCAACCTTTTTTTGCTCATTGCTCCCTTCTGAGCCTCTACCTCTGTGGCCCCCCTCATAGCCGCTGTTAGTTGGAAAAAAAGGTACTTAATTTACCTAATGTTCTGTTTTTTCCATGTGGCCCCTTAGATGTAGGGCGTGGCCCCTGGGGAGCCATATGGCCTATGGTTGAGAACCTTTGGGCTAGGGCACTTAGCTGCAAGGGGAGGGGAGGGATGCTCCCAGCCTGGCTTCTGGCTTTTTTCAGACTGCCACACTAGAAGCAGAGACCCAGGCAAGGCAGAGGAACAGGCTGGGGGGCAACCCCCCTGTCTGGTACTGCACCCACCCTGAGCCTCTGCCCCACGCCACCATTTTGGGAGGTGGGGGGATGCAGTCACACATACTGGTCCTTGTGTATTGCTTTTCCTGCTTCTTGTGACTAGGGAGTGAAGGGAAAGTGCAGCATAACCTGCTTCATTCCTCTCACTCCTGGCTGCCCAGGGAGGGGCAGAGGAGAAACGCAGTAGGTTATGCACCTTCCCCTTACTCCTTAGTCAGAAGAAGCAGGAAGAGCAACACACAGGACTGGTATGTGTGGCTACAGCCCCCTCCCCTCAAAATGGCATCCTTGGCTTCCCCCTGCACTCACCCCTAAAAACACCCAGGGTATGTCTACACTACCACCCTAGTTCAAACTAGGGTGGTTAATGTAGTCATACAAACTTGCAAATTAAGCCCGGGATTTGAATTTCCCGGGCTTCATTTGCATCTTGCCGGACACCACCATTTTTAAATGTCCGCTAGTGTGGACTCCGTGCCCGTGGCTACACGTGGCACGAACTAGATAGTTCGAACTAGGCTTCCTATTCCGAACGAGGCATACAGATAGTTCGGACTAGGCTTCCTATTCTGAACTATCTAGTTCGTGCCGCGTGTAGCCGCGGGCATGGAGGCCGCACTAACGGGGATTTAAAAATGGCAGTGCCGGACATTTAAAAATGGCGGCGCTCTGCAACATGCAAATGAAGCCCGGGAAATTCAAATCCCGGGCTTCATTTGCAAATTCGTATGACTACATTAACCACCCTAGTTAATGTACTAGGGTGGTAGTGTAGACATACCCCTAGTCTATTGCCCTGAGTCATGCACCCTGACCCTCCTCTGCCCTGAGCTCCTCCCCATAATCTCCTGCCTTGAGCCCCTCTTCATACCCCTCGTCCTGAGCCCTTCCTCATACTCCCCTGCCTCTGCCTGAGCCCCTCATATACTTCAACCCTGACTCCTGCATCTGTCCCCAGCCCCTGCCCTAACTCCTGCATCCCCCAATACTCCAACCCTCTGCCCCTCACATTCCACCCCACACTTAAATTTCTTACAGGTACTGTGGTATTGCCAACCCTCTCCCACCCTAAGACACCCCAAGGAAGGGGGCAGGTTGTGATAGGACAGTACCTGTAAGAAATTTCAGTTACTTTCACCCCTGGCTATGGCAATGACAAAAACATTCCCAGTTAGGGAAAACCTTCTGTAACTAAAATAATTAGTGCGATAAGCAAACCAGTCCCAACAAGTAAAGTGATGTCATATAAGGCTGTCAAGATGATTGGCACCATCACAGGTATTTACTCACTCTGTCCTTGGGGAGTGCTCTCGAAGTTGAGATGAAAGAACTCCACTGGCAGTAACTGAGACCAGATGTTTTATAGCCCTTGATAGTCCTCACGCATATGTATGCATAGCTCTTCCCTTCTTTACCATGTCCTAACATATTCCCCCTCAAAATATTGAGGTGCTTGTGTGCTATAGGTGAATATGTTAATAAAGAAATGTTTATTAATATAAATTGGATTACTATGCTTATCTGCAGCTAAACATATGCAAACGTTCTCTGCAAAAATACTCTAATTAGACACAAACTGCCTTCTTGTGGGTTACCTACCAGCAATTTGGAACCCTTGTGACTATAACAAAACAATAATCAAAGTGTTAATGCCATCTTGTAATTTAAGGTCATTGTTAAGTTTACTTATGCTAATTTATGGAGCAACTATTCATACTTACGCTGTAATGTCTTTTACTTAACCATAAATTAAGTAGTTAGCATATCATAGAATCATAGATCTAGGCTTAAGGGCTCTTCATTTCTGCTATTCTTACCTCTTTATCTTGTGATTACTGATACAATCATTACATGGATTCAGGTAGGCTTTATAGCATAAAAAGCCATGCTATGGAGCTGAAATCAGTGTGAATCATATATTCTACCACTTCCTATGTACTTTCACAGCACAAAAAAGAGGGGAAGGTTATGTGGACAATCCAGAGATCCCCCACATTCTACTTTTGAAGTAATGTTGCTTTGCATTCTTTCTGAAGAGACCCAATCAAAATACAATTAATCCTGGAAAACATAACCTGCACTCTAAAATTCATCTACATTATTAGTTTCTATCAAGATTTCCAAATTTCTAGAATGTATGCAGCTTAACTCTTTACTTATACCAGTGTGTCTCACTGACATCAATCAAATTTCTCCAATGTTACAATCATTTAAGTGAAAATGAAATCAAACTCTGTATTTGCCCAAATACTGCAAACGTTACTATTTAACATCACTCTAAATAAACAGGAACATGTTTGGAATGTTTGCATAACATAGGTGACTTGTCAGAGTCTACAGCATGTGTAACATGCTTTTTCACTTCATTAATACACAAAGTACTACACAATATTGCAATCGTCTTTTTTCCCTAGAGTCTCTTTTCTTGAAGCCAATGTATAAGCTCAGAACATGTGTTAAATCATTTTTGTCTATTATGTCATATTTAACTTTGAAAAATATTATTTGGAATAATCATCTATAAATCAATATTAAGGTTTCTGCAGTGACTTCATAAACTGGCATATTCTCTACATGCTGCTCCTTTTACTTTATTGCCATCAATTATAATATACCAGCTCAGCAATGGGCAGAATTTAGTCATTTATGTCAACATTTGGAAAAGGGTTCAGATTTTGCTGCTTTATTATGCACATACTTGACAGTTCAAGAACAGATGTTACAGTGTCAACTGATAGATGATCTAACAACTTATTTAATTTAATTTAAAAGAGCTAATTGGAGATACTTGGAGCTAGTTGGAGATACTAAAATTTCAGTGTATTATCTTTTTACAAAGATACTGAAGTTAGTATAAAAGGAACATTATGGAAGAATTGAATTAAAACTATTATAATTAACAAGTGCTTGCTAGCTCTTCAGACGGAGTACTTGCCAACCAAAGGTCTGATCCTGCATTCTTGTCTCAGGCAAAATTCTCCATTCTCATTAATGGAGTTTAACACACACTTGGGCCTTGATACATGTGAATGCATTTCAGTCGCTCACCATTTTCACAAAGCATACATGAAATTTGTAAAAAAAAAAATTGGTAGATTAGATTTATAATCTTGTTGAGGAAAACCATTGCATTTGTTTTAATGTAGGTGTCAAACTGGTTTGCCAATGCAAGACGTCGCCTTAAGAATACAGTCCGGCAACCAGATCTCAGCTGGGCTTTACGAATAAAGTTGTACAACAAATACGTTCAAGGAAATGCTGAAAGACTTAGTGTAAGCAGTGACGATTCGTGTTCTGAAGGTTTGTTGATATTTTTATGTTAAGTTTGTTCCATGTTTCTATATGAAACTAGAAAATATCAGATTCTTCAGAAAGGATTCTAATCTTTCACAAAAAGCATCGTGTCACAGGCTTTATTTTTTACAAGCTATATGTCAAATTCTGTTTGCAGTAATACATATATAGACCCCCTCCATAGTTAATAGGATTATACAGTTTCACTGGCTGGGGGAAGAATCTGGCCATACATTAGGTAGGTTTGTCTTTGCTGTATATTATTATTATTGACAAAATAATGCTTAATTCTTTGGTTATTAAATAACAGACCCTTAGGGCCTAATACTGCAAAACACTTAAAATGTACATGACTTCAAGGACATGATTAATTTTATTGAAATCAAAGGACCTTAATGTTCCTATGTTTATGTGTTGTTACATACCAGTAGGGCCAAATCACAGTCACTTTATTAACAAAAGTAGACTGGTTAGCTTCATTTGAACTTTTCACATAGTGAGGTGAGCAAGGTTTGGTCTGTCATGCAATCATCACAGGAGATGGTCTTATTTCCTCTCCATAGAAAAATGAAAGTGCAGTACTATGTTACCTGATTTAGGAGGTAAATATTATGAATTTAGATAGCATAGATTGTGTAAGAGTTTTATACAGCACTCTACCTTTGTTTCCTGAATGTTGACAGTCATCATACATTTCAATATTTTTCCAGTAACTTTGTAACATGGTATATGTATTTATCCGCTATAGTCACATTAGAAATGACCCAGTGCTGCAAAACATTTATAGAAATGTTTGTTTGCATTCAAATGAATTTGTTTCATCTGTGCATGTGGGGGGTTTTGTGTGTTCACTTTTCATAAAAGTTTAGTTGAAGAATATAAGTTAAAAGAGCAAATTTTTAAGCAAATATTTCAGTGTGTTCATGGTAAATGAATTTCAAATGCATAATTCTCAGCAAATACAATGTTAAGAATTAGGCTAATTTAATCAGGGCATTGCAAGATAGCATGTGATATAATTGATTGTTTACACAGCTGAGATTTCAGATATCAAATGCATGGAATGTACTGTTCATATAAAAGCTACAGACCAAGCATTATTTCTAAAATTGTTCAGAAAATAATTTAGAATAGCTAAAATATTTGAGAAGATTGTGGTCTGCTCATGGGAAGTTTGTAAACTGAAAAAAAGTGAAATTAATTGATAAATCATTAGTTATGTTATTTGCCTAGCTTTAGTCATCATTTGAGAGAGTTTGTCTGTCCGTTTGTTCAAAAACTCCTCCTAAACAGTAAGAGCTAGGATCACCTATTTCGATATACAGCTTCCTCTTATCATAACATAAAGCAAGGTCAGGTTTGGTTGTACCCAGAAAATGGAATGTTCCTGGAATTGGACTGCTTCTCATAAAACCTTACAGGAAAAAAAGACAGAATCACCAGGCAGGTGAAAGGAGCTGACTGAGGGCACACTCCACCCTTCCCCGCCCCCATCCAGGACTCCCTCAGTCCTGAGTTTCCCCTTCCCTCTTCACCCATGGGGGGGGGGGGGGGAGCTGAACCTCCCCCACATTCATATAGAAACATTGCTGGCTGTATTCTTTCGTCAGGAAGTGAGGGAGAAGTGCACTACTTGCTGCATTCTTCACTCTGGCTAAGGAATGCAGGGTGCAGACAAACTTGGACCTGTTCCAGCTGGAGGACATGTACCCCTCCCTCAGCTGTGCTTGCTGGAGCTGCAGCAGCCATGGAGAGGTGCTTGGTCCCAAGCTGCTTCAGTCAGAAAAGGCTGGTGTAGTCCTCTCTTCCCAGGCAGCCTGCATACTTAACCCATCATCCACAATCCTATCCCAGTGCAATTATTTAAATGTTTTCCAAAAACCAAAAATTAATTGAATTAAGGACCTAAGCAATTCCAGGTAAATCTTCTAGTGTTTAAAATATTTAAAGATGCTCAGATAAGGTTGCTCTATAAATATTACGTAAACCATAATGTATCTTTTTTTTCAGATGGGGAAAATCCTCCAAGAAACCATATGAATGAAGGCGGATATAACAAACCAGTTCACCATACTGTGATTAAAACTGAAAATTCAGTGATAAAACCAGGAGTGAGACCAGAGACAAGTGCCAATGAGGATTATGTGTCACCTCCCAAATACAAAAGCAGTTTATTGAATCGTTACCTAAATGACTCATTGAGACATGTCATGGCTACTAACGCAGCCATGATGGAAAAAACGAGGCAAAGGAATCATTCTGGTTCATTTAGTTCCAATGAATTTGAGGAAGAATTGGTATCCCCGTCATCATCAGAGACTGAAGGCAATTTTGTCTACCGGACAGGTAAGGAATTCTTCATGTATTATTTTAAAACAGTTAGCTGTGTTTGTTAATGTCACCTGAAAATGAATATAGGTGTCCATTCTGCTCTTCATATGAATGGATAACTCCCATTACTGTTAATTATGCAATCACATGGTTATAAGTTATTATTATCTACAGAGCATTCCAAAACATCCTCCCCTGATACATCCCATAATATTCTGTAAGCAAGACACAAGAAATAATTCTTCCACTCTACTCCGCACTGGAGTGTTGTGTCCAGTTCTCAGCATCATATTTCAGGAAAGATGTGGACAAATTAGAAAATGTCCAGAAAAGAGCAATACAAATAATTATAGGTCTAGGAAATGTGAGCTACGTGAAAAAATGGGGTTGTTTAAATCTGTAGAAGAGAAGACTGCAGAGAGACATGATAACAGTTCCTAACTACATAAAAGGTTGTTACAAGGAACAGGATGAAAAAATATTCTCCTTAACCTCTAAGGATCAGACAAGAAGCAATCAGCTTAAATTGCAGCAACTGAGGTTTAGGATGTGTCGGAAAGATAGAAAATATGGCAAAAGACCACCTTGGTTTAACCACAAGATCTTGCATGATCTAAAAATAAAAAAGGAATCATAAAAAATGGAAAGTAGGACAAATTACAAAGTATGAATACAGGCAAACAGCACAGGAATGCAGGGGCAAGATTAGAAAGGCAAAGGCACAGAATGAGCTCAAACTAGCTACGGGAATAAAGGGAAACAAGAAGACATTTTATAAATACATTAGAAGCAAGAGGAAGACCAAAGAGAGGGTAGGCCCACTGGTCAGTGAAGAGGGAGAAATAGTAAAAGGAAACTTGGAAATGGCAGAGATGCTCAATAATTTCTTTTTTTCGGTCTTCACTGAGAAGTCTGAAGGAACGCCTAACATAGTGAATGCTAGTGGGAAGGGGGTAGTTTTGGAAGGTAAAATAAAAAAGAACAAGTTAAAAATCACCTAGAAAAGTTAGATGCCTGCAAGTCACCAGGACCTGATGAAATGCATCCTAGAATACTCAAGGAGCTGATAGAGGAGGTATCTGAGCCTCTAGCTATCATATTTGGAAAATCATGGGAGACAGGAGAGATTCCAGAGGACTGGAAAAGGGCAAATATAGTGCCCATCTATAAAAAGGGAAATAAGAACAACCCATCTATAAAAAGGGAAATAAGAACAACCCAGGAAACTACAGGCCAGTTAGTTTAACATCTGTGCCAGGGAAGATAATGGAGCAAGTAATTAAGGAAATCATCTGTAAACACTTGGAAAGTGGCAAGGTGATAGGGAATAGCCAGCATGGATTTGTAAAGAACAAATCACGTCAAACCAATCTGATAGCTTTCTTTAATAGGATAACGAGTCTTGTGGATAAGGGAGAAGCGGTGTATGTGGTATACCTAGACTTTAGTAAGGCATTTGATACGGTCTC